CCCATAATTGAACCAATTTTGAATCCCAAATGGACTGGCCCAATTTCTATCTAACTCAACCCTTGACCCATTCATCCAACCCGCCCGGCTCTCTTTTTAATCCAGGTCGTTGATCATTTTGATCAACGGCCACGAATTCTCCTTTCCTTTTTTAATCCGCCCACACCCCTAACCCTACCTCATTTTCTTTCTATCAGCCGCCTCTGAATACCCTCCTTCTCTCATGCTCTCTCGAAGGTTCTTGAAATCCTAATCGTCTTCTACCATTTTCAACCTCAATCTCACTAGAATCTATGGCCTCTCAGGTCATGGATGACTTATACTTACCTCCCTCCGCTCTTAAACGCTTGGTGTTCGAAGTTTCGAGGTCTAACCTCGATGGTGTCCATTCATATCTTCTTCGATTAAAGGTTCTATGGCCCCTCCGACCTTGCTCCGGCGTATCCAAGCATTTAGAGCCTATGTCTGACTTATCCGACTCAGATCGGACCTTTTCCAAGCCTTTCTCGCTTTAGGGTTCCTCTGAAATCCTAGCTATTCGAGGTTTTCTCTGATTATTTTCTTAAATCGGTTCTATATCTGTGCTCTACTTGAATTCTTAAACGTTTTCCCCAATTTTTCTTTTAAAAATTACTTCTCCTCGATTTAGGGTTTCTGAAAAGTTCAAAATGTTTCTCCGACTTTTCTGTTCCTTTTCTTTGTGTGTATTTGTCACGCATGTGCTTCTATTGCTTTCTTATGTTTTTTTCTACTATATATATTCTTCTATGCCTTGTCTCTCTACTGTGTTTCTATACCATGCTCGCATGTTCATCCTGCTGTGTTTTCCTATATGTCTTGTTGATATACTTTTCTAGTATTTTGTATTCTCCTACTGTATGTATTTCCTACTGAGTTCTTAAGTTCTTTGTTTGCCTTTTACTGGACCTTTGTTTGAGTTCCCTTTAAACATGTTTCTTCTACTGTTTTCTTAAATGCTATACTATCTCTTTTCTCTTCTGAACCCTGTTTAAGTCCCTTTTAAAAGGTTTTTCTTAAATATATTCCCTCTACTCTCACTATGCTTCGAATCAGTTTCTTCACTCTGTCGCTTCAAACTTGCTATTGTATATGTTTGTTTTCTCATAAGTCTCTGAAAGAGACCTCTGAGCCTGTTTCAATTATTTGCCTCCTCATCTCTATGTCTGATTCGAGTCGGGAAACCCTAGAATTTAGGGGTTTTGGCGAGTTTTGATCTTGTGTTTGGACTAGTGTTCTATTTTGGAACCCTTGACTCTTTTAGACTAATTTCTAAATCTATGAACTAAGTGTGAACTTCTTTTGTTTGCACACAATTCTGATTCTCCTACACTAGACTCTTCTAAATAGCATGGTAAATTTCTTCATGTTTAACGTGTATGTATGCTTTTATATATGAGGAATCTTTCTTCAGAATGGTTTTCCAACTTGTGATTGATTCATAATTCCTTTTAATAAGTCTAATTGATTGGTACTGATTTTCGTTAAGTTGAAATCTTTCCCATCTTTCTGACTTGGTTCATTCATACAAAATCTTCAATTTTCGATTTTCTTGGCTGTTAAGTGATTTCCTTTCCTTATTTGCACAAACCATGTGCTGTCAAGACCCTATCCTTAAATAGACCTTTATGTATTTACCCCTTTTATGCTGCTTTGAAAAAGTGTTTGATGAATCCCTTTCTTTAATTAGTTTTGCCCGTTTGAAATCAGAATCCCTTAATTAGGGGGAAACCTTTTGTAATTGATTTTCAAACTATTCTCCTACCTTATTCTGCTTGCCTTCTACAATATAAAAGGGGCACGACTCCTTTCTCACCAACACACTCTCAATTTAACACTTTTATATTACTCAAGTATCATAGTTCTCTAATCATAGCATTCTGACTATTTGCTTGCACTTTGGCTTCACAAGACTACTGCTTTCTTTTCTTGTTTCCCTGAAACTGGTATGCTCTAGTTAGATTTTCAGCCTCATCCCAATGTGTTTATTTTACAGCTTCGACACACCTGTCTGCTTTACTGCCTGTGTTTAACGTTAATTAGCATATGTTTCTACTGTGAATCCCTGCGCCTTTGTCCCCTTCTATGTGTTTGAGTTGAAGTTTAGAACATGGCAACATCCAAGTTGTTGCTCATGTCTGGACTTGATCCCTTAGGGGATCCTAACTCCCAAACAATGTGGCTAACATGCTGGTTGGGGTGTGCCGGCACTCCAATTGCTAGGTATGACTACTAGCTTGTCTTGGCTTTCCCCCAGAATCCCCTCTTTGCACTTACACTCCCTCTTAGATTCTAAGTTCTTCCCCTTCCTTTGAGCCTTGCTTTGGGACCTTGAGTTCCCTCTGAACTTGGACATTCGAGGGTTGGCCCTTCCACACTGCACTATAACTCAATTCTGCAATATATTTGGGTGTAAGCACTGCCCGGAGTCCACTTGAGACTCTTAGGAAACTCTGACACATCCCAAATAAGAGAAAGGCTTTGGAAATTTGATCTTCGGAGTTGGTTTACTTCATGCTTCAGACAGAAGTCTGAATCAGGCTCTCATTGGTTGGAATTTTGAGTTTCTGATGTAATTTTTATTCATTTTCTCGGGCTGTAATAATTTGTAATAACTTATGGGGTTTTTAGTGAAAAGGGGAGGGTCAATCATGCATGCAAAAGAGGTAGATATCATGTTCATAGGGAGTTGTTATATTTCTGCACTCATGTCCCGCTTACAGCTGTCGCTTCTGCATTTCATATGTAAAAATCATGTCTATAGGTTTTTGCACTTCTGCATTTCATAGAAATCATGTCTATAGGTTTCTGCATTTCATATAGATTCTATGTCTATAGGATCTGCATTTTCACGTAGAAACCATGTCTATAGGATCTGCATTTTATATAGAAAACATGTCTATAGGTTCTGCATTCCCAAACGCTGCATATCATATAGATAACATGCCTATAGGACTTCTTAAATTCTGCATATGCATCTATCACTAGGAAAACGGTTTATAGGTTTAAATAACAATCAGCATACCATGCCTATAGGACTTCTGCACTTCTATAAACGTTTAAAAATCAATAACGAGCATGCCTATAGGAGTAATCAACCAAATCTGAATCGTCTATCTCGCTTATAAGTCTAAAAATCAGAAGTAGCATTGCTTAATATTTGCAGAACTTATGTTTTCTGTAACTAATAAGTCTTTCTCTCTAGAATCAGTATACTTCTGCATTAATAGATATCATGCCTATAGGTTTCACCTAAGCAAGACATAAGGTAAATTAGCTAGCTGAATCAGACTTCGTTAATTACAACTAGCAGGCAGGTGTGATTCAGATTTCTTATCTGAAGTATGTAATAAATCAATCTGCCTCACCCTTTTTAGTTTAATTAGACCATAATCAGTACGTGCAAGGCATGCTAAACAATTTGTATTTAAGTTGAGGAGGCCTGTTTGAGCCTTTAACTGATATATGTTTCCCCATACCTGCTCTACGTGTTTTTGATTGTCGCCTTAGATTTTGTCCTTTTAAACCCAAAACCCAAATCTCGCTTCCCTTTAGGACTAGTAGTCCCAAATGCCTCCGGGACGGATAGCATCGGGGCGGGTAATAGCATGCAATAAGTAACGAAACCATTCTGTTTAATACCTTAACAGGGTGGGAAAGGGTAGATATGGATATGATGACCCGTGCGTTAATACCACGTGTAACCCCTCTTCTGAGGAGTGATTACCGGGTATTGCATTGATGTGATCCATATTATTTGTAAACCTAGGACCCCCTTCTTTTTGTTACTTGTTTGCTTTATTTTCAGAACTTTTTTAACTACTTCAACTTCAGCTTTTCTCTATTTTCTCTCAACTTCAACTACTTGCAACCATTATGTGAAAACCCTCTTTGTATTGGAAACCCTTACGTGTCTATTTGTTGTTCGCACTTAAAGTCACAATTGTAGCATGGCCGGGAACCACACTAGTGGATCTCGAGGGGTGCCTAACACCTTCCCCTCGAGATAATTTCTAGCCCTTACCCAATCTCTAGTTTTCTAAATCAAAATCCTTCTTAGTGTCCTAATGCACTTTAATCATTAGGTGGTGACTCTTCAATCCAAACTCAATTCCCAAAAGGGAACGAGTTGTCCTCTCGAATGTCATAAACCCGATTTCGCGAGAAAAAAGGGGGCGCAACAGCGGTCCCTGGCTATCCTTCCCAAACCGCTTCTACGGCTCTTTTCCCGCATGTGCGTCACCGCACCTGCGGTCCCCAATCCGCAGGTGCGAAAATACCAGAAGCAGCAACTTCTGAGATCTCTTAAGTCCAAAAATCTTCCCGTTAACCATCCGAATTCACCCCGAGGCCCCCGGGACCTCAACCAAAAGCACCAACATGACCCAACCTTATTCAAACTTGTTCCAATAATCAAAGCTCCTCAAACAACATCAAATTACCCGAAACACGTCGAATTCAAGCTTAGTTTTTGAGAAATCTTCCGAAATACGTTTTCGATCAAAAACCCAACCAACCAACGTCTGAATGCCCTGTAATTTTGCACGCACATCCCAAATGACACCATGAAGCTACTGCAACTTTCGGAATTCTATTCCGACTCTCGGATCAAAATCTCACATACCAACCGGAAATCGCCAAAATACTAACTTCGTCAATTCAAGCCTAATTCTACGCCGGACCTCCAAAACCAATTCCGATCACACTCCTAAGTCATAAATCACCTCCCGAAGCTAAACGAACCATCGAAACTCACATCCGAGCCTCCTCTAACTCATAAGTCAATATCCGGTTGACTTTTCCAACTTAAATCTTCTTAAAAGAGACTAAGTGTCTCATTTCTTACCAAATCTACTCTGAACGCAAACTACTCAATTCGTTCACATAAAACACGGATAATGAAGCATAATAAAACAGAAATAGAGGAAACGGAGCGGAAACTCATGAGACGACTGGCCGGATCGTCACATTATTGTATAATAACGGACCAACAAACAAATTAAAACAGTAACTCGAGACACTTCCTGTATGTAACTAGTTGGGACTAAGCTAGCTTTATCTAACAAGTAGTTTTATTAGGATCAAGAGAATGCAGAATCTAGAGTCATTAATGTTGAAGAAGCTTAATCTTATATAAACATATATTTAAATTTTTTTTGCATACGTATCGCAATTTTATTTTGACACAAAATCTCGAAACTTCATAAGATGGATATTGAGAATGTATTCATTTGGGAGCGGACGCAGAAGCTGATGCAGCTTGAGAAAGAGCTCGGTAAAAAGCAAGCAACTCATCTCGAGGAGGTAGAGATTCCTTGATTTGGCTGCAGTTAATGTACTCACCTCTCCACTTACAAAAATTTGGAAATTTTTCACTTGTCACTAAAACAACTCCAGAGGTTTCTTGAAAAACTCCTAGCCAAAATGCTACCAAATTTGCAGCAATATCAGCAAACCCAAATTTGTCACCCACAAAAAACTTCTTATCCTTGAGCTCATTGTCAAGAACTTTAAACATCTCACGTACTTCCTCTTTAGCTTTCTCTTGCTCCTCCCCTTTGCGACGGAAAATATTCGGTACTGCAGTCACCTGCAAAACGCTCTTAACTTAACAACAACAACGATAATACTATGTCTCAATCACAAGTAAGTTAGAGTCGGCTCCATTTAAATCCGCACTACTGCTATACAAAATTATGAAAAGTATTCCAAGCTCTTTATATTTTTTACCGACATATAGAAATGATACGAATAAAAAATTTCTAGAAAATATAAGACCCAAGTAAACGTACGAACATCACTAAAATATATTCTCAACTAATTGATACAACTTATATAGAGATCTTGTGTTTTATTATGCCATATTGTAGGTATTTTGAAGCAACTTCTTCCCGTACGATTTTAAGTCTATCTTGTGCCCTTTTAACACCTCCACTATAATAGTTTCAAACTTACGGATATGTAGATCTGAACATTGACACATGACATGACTAAACCATCATTTATGGAATAAAACGTTCAAAATTAATTTAGTCTCAATTAAAAGTTTATTAAATTATGCAGATAAGAATTTACCTTGTCGTCAAGGAACTTAGCCCAGAAACGAGCTAAAGCTCGATCATAAGGGTCTTTAGGCAAAATGGAAGGACCTCCAAATGTCTCATCAATGTATTCAAGAATGACCATAGACTCAACAATGGGTTTTCCATTGTGAATGAGAACAGGGACTTTTTTATGAATAGGATTGGATTGAAGAAGTAGAGAGCTCTTGTTAGCTCGATCTTCTTCTATGTATTCATATTTCACGCCCTTTACCTTTAGAGCCCACTTAACTCTGTGAGTAAATGGACTATACCAAAAACCTAGCAACTTCACTTGTGCCATATCACAACTTTGGTTCTCAATTCTTTGCTAATTTACTATGTTAAGGAATTTTCAGTGGTGGTTCTCTCTTGATCACTGTGGTCTTCTTTTATAGAAGGAAAAATCAGTGAAGGGCCTTCGGAAACCAAGTAAATGATTTGATGTTTCCTCTTTGAGAATACAATTTTCTAATTATATGTTTCCATATTGGCCGAATACTCTTATAATAAGCATAAGTCTCAAAATATGAGGGAGTGGTTGAAGGTTCCTACTTTTACTATTTTCTTTTTTATTTCTTCTTATATTTTATTTTTGTATGCCTGGCGCCAAAATAAAATGTTACTTCTAAGACTTGAAAAGACTAATGATTATAAAATAGGAAGGTGGGGAGATCGAACGTTAGAGTGGTAGGTTAGGAGGTAGTTGAACATTTTTCTACTTCGTACCTGGTGAGAGCCTAGTCTGATTGGGGTTTGTCTTACACTGCCAGCTGTTTATGTTGTGTTCACACTATTCTTCTATTTTTTATAGCATTGGGCCTTCTTTACTGGTTATTGTTATTGCGTTTCATCTATTTTCTGGTTCTTATGATGCTGTTATTATTCCTATGGCTTCTGTTGATGGTATTGATATATTGTCTCTCTTTTCCTCTTTTTCGTTTTCTTGAGCCGAGGGTCTATCGAAAACAACCTCTCTATTCCATCGGAGTAGGGATAAGGTTTGCGTACACACTACCCTCTCCAAATAATGCAACTGTGAAATTTTATTGGGTTGTTGTTGTACTCAGAGATTCTCTCAAGCGCACGTTATGCTACTTTAGAGATTTTACAAGAAAAGAAATTTCTAATGCGAGGTTTCGTGTTCAAACACTCGAAAACGAAGAAAATTTCTATAGGGAGCATTTCTTTGCTTTAATAGGTCCTATTAGTCAAGCTAATGAATACCATATAAGGGATGATTATACCAAAAACAAATGCATATACGTCAAAGCAAACTACTTTTCACTTCAACATATTGTAATGCACCCTTAGTCCTAATTTGTGTGTCATATTATCTTTTTTTGTTTATCTCAACATATCATATTCTTTATTTAGAAATAATTTAACTCTAAAAATTTTATTTTACGCGTAATGAAATGATTTATAGTTACTGATGTTAGTTACACAAAATGTCTTTGCCTTATTGTAGATTTGACAAACTTTGAAAATATTTCTTTTTTTGTCACGATCCGGAATTCCCACCATCGAGATTGTAATGACGCCTAACATCACACTTGCTAGGCAAGCCAATGTTAAAGATGTATTAGCCAAACCTTTTACATTTCAGTGATTAATCATAAGCAAGCTATACATGTCAAATAAATGCGGAAGTAAATAAATAACAATTTTGATTATGTACTATCACTACCCGAATCTGGAGCCACAATTCACGAACATTCTAAGATTTTTTCTACAAGTATTTGTCCGAAAGAAAGTACAACTATTTGCGAGATAAAGAAAACAGTAAAGTATGAGCTATTGAAGGGGACGTCAGGGCCTGCAGACGCCAAGAACACTACCTTGGGTCTTTGATCAGATGTAGCAAACAGCTAACTCGGGATCAACTTGGTCCACACCAAAATCTGCACAATGTGCAGTATAGTATCTGTACAACTGACCTCATCCACTGGTAAGTGCCGAGTCTAACCTCGACAAAGTAGTGACGAGGCTAGGACAAGACAACAACGTAAACATGTGCAGATAAACAATATACGAGAAATAACAACTAATAGAAGCTAAACAGAAAATAACAGGAGGGGAAATATGCTGAGGAGAGTACAAGATCATGAAAATGATAACAATAAAAAAACACAACAAACAACATGCTTTGCACCAATGGAAGTATTAAACATAGCAAAAACAAATGGCACGACATCACGCTTCGTGCTTTACACTCTTCCTCACATGATAATGAATATAAAATGGCACGACATCACCCTTCGTGCTTTACACTTTTCCTCACCAAAACAAAGAACAATTACAACAGAGAGATAGAATTATCAATAACAAGTCTCACTTCAATATTTAGTTCCACAATATCAATCTCAACTTTGAATCAATAGTCAATCAATATCAAATTCCGTAAAACATAATAAGAGTTGCTCACATAAAGAATAACTAGTCTAAGCATGAACAATATGATCAAAGAATACAACGATTACAAGAATAAGACTCACTCGCGTGCTATGACTTGACAACAACGCATAGTTAATCGTCACCGCACCTATACCTTATACACACCATACAAACACGTAGCAAATAGGCAAACAATACCTAATTCCTCAAACCAAGGTTAGAAATAACAATTACCTCTCTCCACGGGCCACTCAATGCTCAATTACTGCTTTTTCCTCTAGTATCCATCTCCGAACCACTCGTATCTAGCCACAATTAACTCAATAACATCTATTATTGCTAAAGGAATCCATTACAATGCATAAATTTAGATTTTTCAAACTTTTCCCCCAAAAGTCAAAAATCGACCTCGGGTCCACTTGGTCAAAACCCGAGGTTTGGACCAAAATTCATTTACCTATTCACCCCTGAGCCCGAATATATAATTGATTTTGGAATCCGACCTCAAATCGAGGTCTAAATCCCCAATTTGAAAAATCCCCAATTCTTCCTAAATTCCTAGTTTTCTACCATGGAAGAACAAAGATTAGGCTAAGAATTTAATGGTTGATGTTAGAAATGAAAGAAAATAAGTAAAAGAATGCAAACCTACGATTTGATGTTGAATCCCCTCTTCAAAATCGCTTATAGGTCAAATTCTAATGCAAAAGTTGTGAAATTTTGAGAAAATTCCATATTTGAGTTCTGTATTTAAAATACTGGGCAAGCCTTCTTCGCGTTCGTGAAGGGCCTGCCGCGTTCGCGAAGAGCTTCCTTATTAGGCCTATGCGATCGCAAAATCTACGATGCATTCACAAAGGATTTTCCCCTGGCCTTCACGACCCCGAACTCGCGTTCGCGTAGAAGGATGACTGACCCCTCCCACAGGTCCCTAAAGCATCGCGTTCGCATTGGGCTAGCCGCGTTTGCGAAGGGTAAAGCCCATGTCGCTCCACGTTCGCGACCAAGCCTTCGCGTTCACGTAGAGCAAAAATCCACCCAGCTCCAGTTCACTCTTCGCGTTTGCTAGAGTAGCTTCGCGAACGCGAAGAAGAAAACCAGAAGGCACTGAAGCTGAAGAAAGAAACCAGATTTTCTAAGTCCAAACCTCTCGTAGCCTATCCGAAACTCACCCGAGCCCTTGGAGCACCAAAGCAAACATGCACACAAGTCCTAAAACATTATATGAACTTGCTCGCGCGATCAAATCGCAAAAATAACACCTAGAACTACGAATTTAGCACCAAATTAAATGAAATTTTCAAGAAAGTTTTAAAACTTCTAACTTCATAATCGGACGTCCGAATCACGTCAAAACAACTCCGTTTCTCACCAAATTTTACAAACAAGTCTTAAATATCATAATGAACCTGTACTGAGCTCCGGTACCAGAATATGGACCCGATACTAACAAGATCAAATATTAATCAAATTCTTAAAACCGTTATATTTTCAGTCTTTCAATTTTCAACAAAAAATTCATATCTTGAACTAGGGACATCGGAATTCGATTCCAGGTATACGCCCAGGTCCCATATTTTGATACACACCAATCAGGACTGTCAAAGTACGAGTCCAGGCCCATTTACCAAAAATGTTAGGCGAAGTCAACTAAAATTAACTTTTAAGGTAAAAATTATTATTTTCATCAACTTTCAATATAAACGCTTTTCGGAAATACGCCCTGAGCTTAAGAGCACAAAATCGACTTCTAAAACATAAGATGACCTTTTGGGTCATCATATTATCCACCTCTAAAACAACCGTTCGTCTTCGAACGGACATAGAAAAGTACCTGAGCTGGGAAAAAAGTAGGGATATCTACTCCCAGGTAGCTACCTCGACAGGATGACTTCTCCACTGCACACGAAATGAAGGATAACTCATTGATCTCAACTGACGAACCTGCCAGGCTAGAATAGCCACCACCTCCTCCTCATAACTCAAATGTTTGTCCAACTGGACAGAGCTGAAATCTTACACATGAGACACATTACCATGGTACTTTCGGAGCATGGACACGTGGAATACCGAATGCACTGCTGATAAACTGGGTGGCAATGCGTGCTTGTAAGCCACCTCACCCACTCTCTGGAGAATCTCAAAAGGCCCGATGTATCTAGGGCTCAACTTGCCCTTCTTTCCAAATCTCATCACACCCCTCATGGGTGACACACGGAGCAATACTCTCTCTCTAACCATGAATTCAACATCACGGACCTTACGGTCGGCATAACTCTTCTGCCTAGACTGAGCTAAGCGAAGTCTATCCTAAATGATCTTGACCTTATCCAAGGCATTATGTACTAAATCTATACGCAATAACCGAGCCTCCTCGGCTCAAATCATCCGACCGGCGACCTACACCGTCTACCATATAATGCCTTATAGGGAGCCATCTGGATGCTCGACTCATAACTGTTGTTGTAAGCGAACTCCACAAGTGGCAAGAATTGATCCAAGAGCCTCCGAAGTCAATAACACAAGAGCAGAGCATATCCTCTAATATCTAAATAGTACGCTCGAGAGTACATCCGTCTGAGGATGTAATGCTATGCTCAACTCAACCTGCGTACCCAACTCACGCTATACTGCCCTCCAAAAATGCGAGGTGAACTGCGTACCTCGATCAGAAATGATAGACACGGGCACATTGTGAAGACGAACGTTCTCACGGATATAAATCTCTGCCAATGGCTCTGAGGAATAGATAACTGCCACAGGAATGAAATGCGCTGACTTGGTCAGCCTGTCCATAATGACCCAACCAGCATCAAACTTCCTTTGAGTCCATGGGAGTCTAACAACAAAATTCATAGTGATACGCTCCCGCTTTTACTCAGGAATCTCTATCCTCTGAAGCAAACCACCAGGTCTTTGATGCTCATACATTACTTGCTGCCAATTCAGACACCGAGCTATATATGCAACTATATCTATCTTCATCCTCCTCTACCAATAATACTACCGCAAGTCCTGACACATCTTGGCGGTGCCCGGATGAATAGAATACAGGGAACTGTGGGCCTCCTCTAGAATCAACTCACAAAGTCTATCCATATTAGGCACACAAACACGACCCTGCATCCTCAAAACTCCATCATCTCCCACCGTAACCTGCTTCACATCTCCTTGCCGCATTGTATCCCTAAGGGCAAGCAAATGAGGGTCTTCATACTGCTGCTACCTGATACGCTAAAACAAAGAAGACCGAGCGACTGTACAAGCTAGAACATGATTGGGATTAGAAACACCCAACTTCACGAACTGATTGGCCAAAACCTGAACCTCTAATGTAAGTGGTCTCTCACCGAATGGAATGTACGCAAGGATGCCCATACTAGGTGACTTCCTATTCAAGGCATCGGCTACCACATTAGCGTTCCTGGGATGATACAAGATGGTGATATCATAATCTTTCAATAGATCCAACCACCTCCTTTGCCTCAAATTGAGCTTTTTTTGTTTGAACAAATACTGCAAACTCTTATGATCCGTGAATACCTCACACGACACGCCATATTGATAGTGTCTCTAAATCTTCAACACATGATCAATGGCTGCCAACTCTAAGTAATGAATAGAGTAATTATTCTCATGAACCTTCAGTTGTCGTGAAGCATATGCAATAACCTTGCCACCCTACATCAATACCGCATCAAGTCCAATACGAGATGCATCATAATATACCGTATAAGATCCTGAATCTATGGGCAACAGTAACACTGGCGCCGTAGTCAAAGCAGTCTCGAGCTTCTGAAAGCTCACCTCACAGTCGTCTGACCATCTGAACGGGGCACCTTTCTAGGTCAACCTGGTCAACGGGGCTGCTATAGATAAGAACCCCTTCACAAATTGACGGTAATAACTCGCCAATCCCAAGAAACTCCGGATCTCTATAGTTGATATGGGTCTAGGACAGTTCTTGACTACCTCAATCTTTTGAGGATCCACCTAAATGCCCTCTACCGATACAACGTGACCCAAGAAAGCAACTAAACTAACCAAAACTCGCGTTTTGAGAACTTAGCATATAACTGGTTGTCTCTCAGGGTCTGAAGAACGATCCAAAGGTGCTTCTCATGCTCCTCTCAACTGCAGGAGTAGATCAAGATATCATCAATAAAAACAATCATAAAGGAATCCAGATAGGGCTTGAACTCCCGGTTCATCAAATCCATAAATGTTGCTAGGGCATTTGTCAGCCCAAATGACATCAATAGAAACTCATAATGCCCATACCGAGTCCGAAAAACCGTCTTAGGGATATCCGATGCCCTAATCCTCAACTAATGGGTAGACAGATCTCAAATCAATCTTCGAAAATACTTTGGCACACTGAAACTGATCAAATAAGTCATCAAGCATCGGCAATGGATACTTGTTCTTGATGGTGACTTTGTTCAACTGCCGATAATCTATGCACATCCTCATTGATCCATCCTTCTTCTTTACAAACAACATAGGCGCAACCTAGGGCGAGATACTAGGTCTAATAAAGCCTTTATCAAGCAAATCTTGCAACTGCTCCTTCAATTCTTTCAACTCTGGGAGGGCCATACGGTATGGTAGAATAGAAATGGGTTGAGTTCTCGGAGCCAAATCAATGAAAAGGTCAATATCCCTATCGGGTGGCATCCCCGGTAGGTCTACAGGAAACACCTTGGGAAACTCACGAACAAGGGGTACTGAATCCATGGAAGGAACCTCCACACTAGAATCACGAACATATGCCAAATAAGCTAGACATCCCTTCTCGACCATGTGTCGAGCCTTCATATAAGAGATAAACCTGCTGGTAGAATGGCTAGGAGTCTCCTCCATTCTAATCGAGGCAACCCCGGAAAGGCTAAGGTCACCGTCTTGGCGTGACAATCTAATATAGCATGATAAGGTGACAACCAATCCATACCCAAAATGACATCAAAATCAACTATATTGAGAAGCACACTACAACAAAAAGGGGATTTAGCAGCAATTATTTAGCAGCAATACACTAATTGCCGCTAATTTATTCATGGAAGGCAAATATTAACGGCCAATAAATATTAACCAATAATTAGTATATTTTTAGTAGCCATTCAAAAGAATGGGCAGTAAAATTATTGTTTTTACTTTTAATGTCGCCTCCAATTTCTATTTTTTCCTCTAAATCTTTCCCGCCTAACTATATACCCCCTCAATTTAACCTCAAGACTACAATTTTTTTTTTGGGAATTACCTTAATTGAAAAACCCCAAAGGCCGAAACTACACAAATCTCATCCGTTAGCGCCACAACAAAAATTCGTCGGCCACCATAACAACCAAAAGTGTCAGTAAGTTTCTATCTCCATATTTAGCGTTCGATCTTGTTGGTGTTGGGTTGATTAAAACTTTCTAATTGGTTGGGTCTATGGTTGGATTGTCGAATATCTATTCACTGAATGAGTATCTTTGTATCTCTTTCTAGTTTGGAATTGACGAATCTATGGCATGGTTTATAGTAGTTAACTTCATTGTTCCTATAATCCAGATCTATAGTTGTTTATAGAAAAGCTGGTTTGAGCAATTCAAGATAAAATTGGGATTGAGCCAGAATAAGTTTTATTTTTTAAATTTTTTGTAATATATATATATATATATATATATATATATATATTAGAATTGTACTTATCAAAGCTTGGATTGTCTGTGTAAGGAGGAATAGGTTGAACATGAACAAATACTAGTTTAGTTTTCAGAAAATCTAAAATTTAAAAAAAAAAACAAATCATGTGTGTGAGGTCTGACATACTGATATTTGACCTTAAGAAAAAAGTTCACCAATTTTTATGGTCTTTCCTTCAATCAGTTACGAGAATGCCAAGAAATCACTACTAAGTAGTAATGTAGTATTTAATATAACCCATGTCTTACAGTGTTCGCGTGACTTGTTTAGCTGTCTTCTTCATACTTCATGCACTCAGGTTCAATTTATAAGTCTTGTTTATTTTGTCCATGTCAATAGGTATGTAATTTTTTTCAAATCTAAATACCACAGTGTGATGCTTCAAATCTAAGATATATTCCTTTTGAGATGAAAGTTTTATGGTTCTTACTACTTTGCAAGGTTTTAGTAAGCATGTGTAAAATTTATGGTCCTTTATGGTAGTTGAATACCAAACCAGTTTCCTTTCCCCATAAAATTTCATGTCTCAGGTTCCAGTTTCATCTAATTAATCGCGACATAACTTGTGAGATATATTCATTATCTTTTTGGACTGGACTATCATAATCCCCAGTAGAACAACCATAGTTGTTGCTAGTACTATTATTTATACTACTACAATATCCTGAGATTTTATAAACATGCAATTGATCCATGTATTTTAAGTTATTTAGCAGGGAAAACAGTTGATTGGAAAATTCATTAAAGTTACCAATTTTGTTATAATCAGTATTATTCACCCATCTTCTTTGCTATTCCTTCTTTTCTAGTTCAAATAATAAGTTGATGTAATTTTATTTTTGAGAAGTGCTCTTTTTTTATTGATATATCTTAAATTTTTGTGCTATAGATTTATGCATTAAGAAGATGATTTAGTTAGTTTTTAAAGGCAATTTCTTAATGCAATTCGAATTTTAAGAAGATGATTTAGCTAGTATTTGATTGGTTAAGTATTTTGTCTTTGAGAGTACCTGATTAACTGTTAAGAAAATTAAGTTATGCTTGCGGTAGATTAAACTTATGAAACGCTGGCAATATAATAATATAAAGTTTTTTGTGTTGCCTACGTTGTTTATTTCGTCATTTAAATTGACCAAGAAAACGTCGCACTTTTGTGGTACTTTCTTAGGATTGTTTTTTCTTATAACTTAATAAGAAACTATCATGCTTGGTGTTCAAGTTCTACTTTTTGTCCATCTTCTCTTTTCATGTAGGTTTCGATATTGTTACTGGCATCGTTCTTCTCCTTCACTTACTTGACTTCATCGGCAAAGTATTCTGCTTCCCAGGTACACAAACATTTGGCACTACTGTTTGATTTTTCTACTATTTGAGTTTTTCACCTTTGTTTTTTATTAATTTGTTATTGTATTTGGGCTTACCTTGGATCCTTCTCACTTATATATATATATNATTTTAAAGACAAAATTTTTCATGATTGTGATTATGTGTAATATAATTGTATCCTTCTTATATACACATAGTGAAAAAATTATTTATTTATTTATTCAGATTAATGGACATCATTTTTTGTCTTTAAATCAATTCATATTTGCATATTTGAATTCTTGGGATGGTTGATAAACTTATAACCTTAAACCCGAAAGTCGATCACAACAAGTGTGTTGAGTCTTTGTTGGGTAAGTTTGAATCTCCACCAACTGCATAAAGTATTTGCATTTCTTGAGACCAGATGTTGGTAAATATTCTTTTTTGATAAGGTAATGTAAATTAAAACTTGTTTAAACCTTTGTTACACTGTACTAGAATCGGCTTTAGAGACATTTAGTGCTGTTGTTTTTGCCATAGAATTTGAATAGCACATAATATTTGTTGAAAAGGAAGAGTTTTTACCCATCCTTTTTCCTGATACTACTACCTATTATGATGTTTGTGGAATTGTTGAACTTCAGTGTTATAGGATGAAGTTCATTTCCGAATAACATCATATTTTATACACTTGTTTCAGTTAATACAAAAATATTTTTTCAATCTCTAATACTAATGATCACATGTCACCTATAACCAAGAAAATGCTTTTTTCAAATTAAAAGTTTCTGATGGAATACTTTTGTTTGCATGCTTGGTGCACCCAGAACTGAAGTTTTTATCAGAAAAAAGTTATAGTTATTTAATTAACTCTATACATTTGCATTTCTTGGAATTATAGTTATTTTTAAGTTCTTATCAGAAAATAATTATTCTTAAGTTAGCTACAGTTTCTAAAGATATTTAATTTCAACTATTTGTGATACATACAATATGATTATGCCCAAGGTTTTATCAAGGCCTAATTATGCCCAGTAATAGTTATTTTATTAACTTTATACATTTGCATTTCTTGGAATTATAATTATTTTTAAGTTCTTATCAGAAAATAATTATTCTTAAATTAGCTATAGTTTCTAGAGATATTTAATTTCAACTATTTGTGATACATACAATATAATTATGCCCAAGGTTTTGTCAAGGCCTGATGTGCATAATTTTCTGTCACTTATTTGGGAGCTTCATTAATAGCATGTAAGCATAATCTAGTTTCCATATTTAAGGAAAGGACATGGCGACTATAACATTTGCTAATGAACTTTGGTGTAGCTTCTTTTTACTTCTCCAAGCTAATACTCTGCTTTTGATTTTTTCGGTTTCTTCTCTATCATAACTAAGAAAGAAACTCTCTTTCATAGTTTGTACATCCATTGTGCTCCTTTATTAATCCATCTAGTTGTTACTGCTTATAAATATTAAGTGAGAAGTTGGCTGAAAAAGAATCTGATAGTGATGGAGTCTTCAAGATATTGTTTTCACATTATATTTCATCTTTTGATATAGTTAATTTATAATTTCTGGTCATACAGTCTGATGTTCAATAATTTAGCAGGTGGAAGATTTCAATCTGATGAAAAGTTGCAGAAATTATTTGAAGACTATCATTCGTCAGAATTAGTTATATAATGACATTAGCTATTTAGTTCAAACAATATAAGTTTATTTTTAAAGTTACTGTGACACTAATATTTTTGAATAATACTTACATTTACTTGTTAAGATTTATTGAGATATATTCTATTTCTTGAATTAATATTAATATATTTTATTGTTTGGATTATATTCTGAATGAATGTAGTAACTATTATTAATGGTGGCTAAACTATTACTATTACAGCTTGTGACTTTTAGCGCTAATTTAAATGGACAATATAAAGAAAAGTAAAGACATTTTTACTAGGGATATTGTACCCATTATAATTGCTGGAAAATAATTGATGTTAAATATATTAACTTTTAGTGGTAATTTAGTTGAATATATCAGCCATTAAAATAGACGCTGAAAGGGAATACTATAGCCATTCTAATTGCCACAACACAATTGCCGTTAAATATACGAACTATTAACAACAATTATTTTGAATTCAGTGGCTATATAAATGGACGCTAAAGGAGCATAATTAGCTATTTTGGATTGGATGTAGCAGCCATAATAATTGCCGCAAATAATTGTTGTTAAAGTTTATAGTTTTTAGCGGTAATAATTCATACCATTTACCAGCATTTGTGACAATGGCCGCTAAAGGCTTTACCGACCCCGGCTTCAGCGACAATTGTTAGTGTCACTAATGACCTTTTGTATTGCCGCTAAATCCCCTTTTTGTTGTAGTGACAGAAGATCTACGCTGGTCTCAAGACCTCCAATGACAACCACACACGAATGATAGACACGATCTACAACGATAGAGTCTCCCACTGGCGAGGACACATATACTGGAGCACTCAAAAAATCATGAGGCTTAACCAAATATGGAGCAAAATAGGACGACACGTATGAATAAGTGGAACCCGGATCAAATTGAACTGAGGCATCTCTACTTCAAACTAAAACCGTACATGTGATAACGTATCTGATGACTCAGCCTTAGATCTGGCTGGAATAGCAAAACATCGGGGCTGGTCCACACTACTCTGAACTACATCTCGAGGACGGGCATGTCTGGCTGGCCTCCACTTCTAGCGGCCTAACCTCCACCTCCAATGCCTCGACCTCCACCTCTAACTGTCTGACCCCTACCTCTAGCTAGCTGAGCGAGCGGTGAAGCACCCGATGCCGAAACAATGGCACGAGAACCCTGATACTAAGAACTGCTCGATGCTCGAGGGCAATATCTGACAATGTGCCTCGGATCACAACAAATATAACAAAACTTCGGCTGCTGAGACTGCTAACCCTAAAACTGACCCCGACGACCTAAGTAACCACCCTGAAAACTCTGGAGTGGAGGTGCACAAATAGGAGTTGGTGGTGCACTAATAGAAGCTGGTGGTGCACTGTAAACTAACTAATCAGAATAATGCATATGGGGACCATGACCACCTGGAACACCGTGAGAAGTCTAGAGTGCTGAATGAAACGGCCTGGGAGGAAGGCCTCTATCAAAAGTACCCCTGCCTCCAGATGTGGCACCACTAAAACCACCTGAATGATGAGGTCTCTTGTCAGATCCCTGACCACTCCCCTGAGCTAGAACCATCTCGACTCGCATGGCAACATCGGCAGCCATCTGAAAAGAAATATCACTCCCAGTCTCCTTAGCCATCTGCAATCTGATAGGCTGAGCAAGTCCCTCAATAAACCTCATCACTCTCTCTCTCTCTTTCTTTCTCTCTCTGTGTTGGAAGAATAATAATAGCATAACGGGCCAAATCCACAAATCTAGTCTCGTACTGAGTGACAGTCATAAAACTCTGCTGAAGATGCTCGAACTGCCTCTGATAACCCTCTCTCTGAGTGACAGGAAGGAACTTCTCAAGAAATAACTGAGAGCATTGGTTCCAAGTAAGAGCAGGCGACCTAGCTGGTCTGGTTAACATATAATCCCTCTACCATCTCTTGGCGGAACCTGACAAATGAAATGCAGCAAAGTTGACCCCATTGGTCTCCACTATCCCATGTTCCGAAGAACCTCATGACAACTGTCTAGATAGTCCTGGGGATCCTCTGAAGATGTATCGCCATAATGAACTGGGAAAAACTTGGTAAACATATCCAACCTCCACAAATCCTCAGAAGACATGGCCGACCTATCAACAATATGTGCTGTAAAACCCGGCGGAACTACCCTAACTGGCTGAGCTGCTGGTGTCTAAAACTGGGGAGCCATTGATAACTAGGGATTCTAGTCTAGTTTATGCTCCTTTTTGCTTGAGTTTTGGACTAAAATGTGTACAAGTATTCCCCAAAATCTAACTTGGTGTGCTTGCTTGCAGTGTTTGGTCAAAAAGGGACAAGGATGTCATAACCAGCACAAAAAAGGAGTGGAACCTGCACAAGTTCAAAACCAAGTCAAAGAAGCGCTACAGCATAAAATCCACCGCAGCCGCAGAAGACTCACCGCGACCACGGTCCTTTTATCGCGATCTGCAGTGGCAAGCATTCAGAGAGTTGGCATTTTTGGAATTCAAGCTACCACGGTCCGCGGTGATTTTATGCGACCGCGATGCCTCCACCGCGACAGCGGTCAGTTTATCGCGGTCCGCGGAGAAGAAGTTCAGAGAACCTGCTGTTTACCCAAAATCTGAAGACCGCGGTCGCGGTAGCCTCACCGCTGTAGCAGTCCATTTTCTGTTGTTAGCGGTACCTCCGTTAGGGGCATTTTTGTCCAAAAAATTTAGTTGTGTATAAATACTTTCTTTTTAGATTTTTAGGTCATCTTATCAGTAATGAGCACGTAAGCGACGACTTTTTCCCATTTTGAGTAATGTTGTAGCTTACTTAGCAATTAATCTTAGTATCTTATCTTGTAATTACAATTTATGGCTTATTCTTCATCTCAATCTATGATTTCTTCTTCAATTATGGGTATCTAAACCCATTAGCTAGGGTTGTGGATCAACCTTAGTGTGGGTGTTTAATGGGTTTTTTATTTTAGGGCTTAGATGTTTATGGGTGATTGTTATTTGGCCTGATTTATGCTTTCTATGTTGAATTATTGGTTGCAAACACTAATTTGTGCCGTTTTGACTTAGGTTCTTCTTGAGAAAGAGAGACTAAGTCTAGGAATTTCAGGCCAACAAGGAATTGGGGTGTATTCAAGAGATTGATAGCCCTAATTAAAGGGTTAAACCTAGAGATAGTAATACCCGACTTGAGCCAACATTGCTTGCACAAATTGAACATCCAATTGGGCTTGAGAAAACCAATTAGGGCAAAGTCACTCTTACTACCGATAGGTGTAGAGTGAGTAGCTTCATGCATTGGCTATAACATGATCCCAACTATAACATTATTTCCCTAAGTTCTAGATCCCGTTAGATACTTACCTAGGAGTAAGTCACTTCTCCAGTGCCTCTTTACCCATTTAGAAAACCCTACAAATATATATACTTAGTTTAATTTCGCACATCATTAGTATAAAATTAGAAGTAACAAACAAACAAATATGATTGGAAGTGTAATCAAGAGCACTACACAATGCTAGATTAGATAGAAATCCAACTCCAAACATTGTATTATCTCCCTGTGGATTCGATCCCGACCTTCTCGGGTAAAAGCTGCATCGACTGCTCTTGCCACTTTGTACTGGTGTAGGGTTGGACCCGATCACTTTTTGGCATCATTGCCAGGGGAGGAGGTAGATGACAATATTGATGATGAGGTACCTATAGTGCCTCAAGCTCAAAGGAGAGGCCGCCAGGCCAATGATAATGTTCCAGACCCTCCCCCGCCACCTCCAAGAGTGGCTCCTCGGGTGCTTTCAAATCAAGGATATGCTACTGCAATTGTCCTACCCTGGATCCAGGCGGGCAATTTCTAAATTACAAATATGATGTTGACTTTGTTGGAGCAGTGAGGATATTTCACAGGTGTTCCCCATCAGAATGCTTACTTATCTTAAAGGCTTCGTGGATACCTATTGGGGAAGCAAGAAAACAAATGTGTTAGAGGATGCACTTCAGTTGAGATTTTTCCCTTTTTCACTTAGAGGGAAAGCTTTGGACTGGCTTGAAAGGTTTCCCAACCATTCCATCACTCCTTAGGATGCGTTGGGGGACAAGTTTATAGCAAAGTTTTTCTCGCCGGGGCATATGGAAACCTTGAGAGATGAGATTTTGGCCATCAAAGAGGAACCTAGTGAACCACTTAATGAGATTTGGGAGAGATATCAGACAATGGTAAAAGAATGTCCGAACAATGACATAACCGAAGTAATGATTCAACAGACATTCTACCATGGCATTAACACAACCAATCAGTGTGTGGTAAACCAGCTAGCAGGGGGAAATTTTATGAACACACCATATGATCAAGCATGTGAGATATTGGATGAGATGGCAGATACTTCCTCAGTTTGGCAAAGTCGAGCCAATATGCCACAGGGTGACCCCACTATCATCCACTTGCACAAAGAGCTCCATGATCATGTCCAGGCAATAGTAGAGTTAACTATCACAATGAACCAGTTAGCGAAAGCTCAATTGTAATAGGTTCAATCTCCTAGACAAGTAAATGCTATGGAAGGTATCAACATGTTGGTCAACAAGAGGCAACAAAGAGGTCAACAAGGTCAAGGTATTCCATATCAATATGACCAAGGTAGTGGTGGTTTCAATCAAGATGAGAGCTATGATGGGCAAAATGAAGAAGTTCAATATATGAACAATTACCAAGGACAAAGGGGCAATGCTCCTAATCAACAATAACAATGGAGATCCCAAGGAAATTGGGGGAATCAAAGCCAACAAGTCAATAGCAACTGGAAGAACAACAATCTAAAATTGGGGCAACCAAAACAATTAGGGTAACTAGAGTGGCAACAACAACAATTGAGGAGGAAACAACAACCGAGGGGGTTGGAACAATGGCAATCAGGGGAATCAGGGGCAAGGATTTCAAAGGCTTTCGATGTATCAAAAACCAAACAACCCACGTCCATTTCCGTCCCAAGGTCCTAACAAGTCAAATAATGAGATGGGAAAGATCGAGATAATGTTTGAACAAATGATGAAGAAGAACACCGACTCCGATGCCCAATTGGCATCCCATAATACTTCAATCCGGAATTTGGAGGTTCAACTTGGCAAGATTTCATAGTC